AAGGAAGAGGTCAAGTCTAGTCCTAATGCCACACATCTAGCTAGACAGGATGTTGGGAACTTTCCTGCTGCTCCAGTTTCCTCTAGAGGGAAAGTTCGAGTTAGAGGTCTGAACAAGCAGACTACCATTGATGACAGTGAGCTAAAGGAACCAGCAATTAAGGAGATCAAGGATGATCATTTGACTGAAGAAGAGGTACCCTCCAGAGACCACCTGACCTACAAGTCACCAAATTCATCTTTCTCAACAGGTTGTTTCAAAGACTTGTCCAAAGATTCTTCAGTAGAAACCAGTGATATGTCTATAGTGACAGAAGTCCCAAGAAGTGATAAAATATCTTCAGATATTCCGGGCAGAAGAAATTCAAATGAACAAGATCATTTTTCTAACAAAGACCACAGTTTTTCAACTGCCACAACATCTCCCTCCCAACCAGAATTGCCAACAAGAAAGAGTATATTTTCTTTCCTGACTGGATCTGAAAAATCTGAGAACAGAGCCTCTGCTGCTCTATCCAGAACCAAATCTCAAGCAGAAGGGCTATTCACACTTCCTTCCTTTTTCCCAACTGCTAACTCAGGCAGCAAGAAGGATGCCTCTCCTAAAAGCTCTTTCAGTTTCTTCAGCTTGTCCTTTTTGGATGAAAAGCAGCACAGTCCTGGGAAAAAAGAGAGCCTTTCAACTACTGGTCCAGTGACTTCTCAGCCCTGTAAGAAGCCAAGTGTTTTTGTGGACATGAGTGGTGCGATAACTAAAGAAAGTTCTAATGGCAATGGAGATAGCATGGTCCAGGAGGTAGTTCATGAACAGCAAATGGCTCCTTGTGTTTCCATTAGCAACACCACTGAGGTTATCTCCCTTGCAGATGAGCTCAGTGTAGAGGAGAATGATCCAGGAAAACCAGGTTCCAGTAATGGATCAGGGACATCCTCAGATTTCCAGATAAATCAGTCTCAAAAAGACATTGTTCCTCATTCACCAGGATTTCAGGTACAGACTGAAACACTGCTCCTTGGCCCAGAGACCCTTGAGATATCTACCCATGGAGAAGAAGCTTTTATACAAGAAGCATCCATGAGTGACTCACTGGCCAGCTCTTTTTCACATGATAGCCATTTGGTTGAACAGCTCAACAATTTAGACACTTGTACTAACTCCCACCAGAATGAAAGATTTACTAGTGACCCATTGAACTTACCATTAGAAAAGACCCCTGATGAGGTCTTAACAAAGATCCTGGAGCCAACTTCTTCCTCTGTGGAGCCAGGAGGTACATGGCACCTGCAGAGTCAAGGTGCAGATAAAGAGGAAGACAAATCAGTGTTGGACTCTTCAGTAGAAATGCTTTCGGGGTTTGTGACCAAAGTGAAATCTTTCTCTGGGTCCTTAATTGAACCTCCCAAAACATTCTCCGGACTTTTCTCTTCTCCTAAACCTCCAAAGAAAAATTCTTTTTTCTCTCTTTCTTCTGGTACATCATCTCGGCCTCTCAAAGGCGAGTTATTTGGAATTTTTAAAAGTCCCAAACCAGAGACATGCAAACAAGAATCATCTGTCCCAGCTACTGCATTGCTTCAAAATGGTAGTCCCAGAGATACTGTAGGATCAGTATCTCCAGAAAATTTGTGTAAAGAAGTTACCTTGGGAGCACTCAATTCAGAATCTATGGTCAGTGACTGTGGAATGACTGTGGTTAGTGCAGAGTCAGACTTGGAGACCTTGACAGATGATCCTAAACTAACAACTGAAATGGAAAACAATAATATTCCAGAGCCCCAACATTCTGAAACAATTGAGGGTGCATCTTCTGTCTCAGGGGATGATGCTGGGCAAGGAGTATTGTCTCTGAGCGATGAAGGAGACATGGGGATGCTGCAGGCTACAGACACAGAGGCATCATTGGAAGCAGAGCATATCCCATTGCCAATACAGTTGCATCCAGATCCTCCCTGGATTGCCAAAGAGCTTCCTCCTCCAGTTCATCCACCTCTTCCTCTTGAGCCAGAGCCAGATATGCAATCCATCTCCGCAAACCAAGACTTCTTAGAGCTACAGGCAGCCAGTTCACTAGAAGCAGCACTGTTCAGAGAGGCAAGTGTCAGCCAGAGTGCCACACCGGAAACCCGCGGGCACATTTCTCACCCTCCCCTGGAGGAACCCGCGCTTTGTGCCAGAGAACACTGTGAGCTACTTGATGCCCCGAAAGACTCACCTGCGGTCCCCCAGGAAGCGGAGCAGCCAGGTCCTCATTTTGAAATCCCAAACGTGACCAGTTGGCCAAAGCTCCATTTCCCGCCTTCTGCTGCTGACTGCGGGAAACCACTGAGCTCTTTCTTCTCCTCACCTTCCTCCACTGGCATTAGAGCAGAAGAGACTGGTTTCACGTCCAGTTTTAAGAAGCTGTCGGCTCTCTTTGAGGGGAAGGGGAGTAGTGTAGTGGCAAGTGATTCAAAACTCGGGTTTGGAAAGAAGCTGGATCTTTCATTTCCATGGCTGAGAGAGAGCAAAGGGGACTCTGAACAAATGCCTGCAGAACCCTCCTCTTCAGCTTTGATTATAAGCAGTGATCAGGACCTTAAATCTGGTGAGACTGACAAAACTTTGCAGTCTTCTCAAATGTCTGGGGCCAGTGCTGAGCCAGCTAAGGTCCTGACTCAGCCCTCTGAGACCTCTGAGCTGCTGGAGTCTGGGCCAAGTATATGTACTCAGGAGCTTTCAAGGCCTGGCGAAGTGGAAAACCAGCAAGAAATCCCAGCATCTGGAGAAGGTGGGGATACCAAAGATAACACGTCTGACCCCATCTGTCCTTCCGAGAGTCATGAGGAAGAACACTGCACTGTCTCTGAGCTACTTCAGTCAGAAACACACGAAGAGGAGGCAGAGCCTGCTAGCACTGGCTCTGTTTCAAACATACAGCAGCTGGACATCAGGGAACCAAAGACCAGCAAAAGGCCTGTTCTCAACTAAAGCATCATAAATGATTTTAAGGAATTGACCATTTATGATGCAGTGACTTAGTGGTAGCTTAACCATAGCCTGCTTTTTATCCTCCTTGTGTCTTTCCCAGCACCTGAGCTTTATGTTAATTAGGCATTAAGTAACAAGAAATAATATGTGGATATTGTCATCTCTTCTCTCTACCAAACATAATTCACTTATTGGAACAATGTTCTTCCTGCTTAAAGGAAAGGCTAAGTTCTGGGATTTACTTACTGTGGCTTGCTCTGCCTTGAATAATGTAGAAGGGAGAAGGGAGGGCAAGAAGAGGCGGCAAGTCATTGAGTGGCATGTATTATTAATAACTACAGCCATGTGATAGGCTTGAATGCTTCCTTAGGCCTTGAACACCTATGTCTGTAAAAGCTGGGAGAGATCTACTTTGCTTTGCTTTTCCAAGTCTTCTAAGATGCTTTCTCCAGTGGCAATGAGATTATTCAGTAAAATACAAAATGCACAGGATGGTTTGGGATAATCTATACTGTATCTCCTATTCCATATGGATTTGCATAGCTTCTTCCAGTTTCTGAGTTTTATCACCCATGAGACTGGTGTCTGTTAGGTGCTTTTGGTCGTCTCCCAGGAGCTCAGGGTTCTCATTTGCTCTGGAGCACTGTGCTCTATGGTGGGGCATCACACAGGGTCCACCTGCAGAGGATGCTATCATTTCCCCTAAGAAGAGGCACCATACAGGGCAGTTTAAGAGTGCTGCCTTGAGCACTGGCCCAAAGCAGTCCAAAGAAGTTGGTCGAATACTTTGGAGATTGTGTGTTAGGAACTACTCAGCACAGTGGCCTGGTACCTCTCCTGCTGCTGTGGGATGAAAAATCAGAAATCAGCCTAGAAACACCAGATAATTGGGAGGAACCAGAGGGAAAATATCACTGGAAAACAATAAACATTAGCCCTTTAGTTAAAGCTTGACTCTTTGGCAAAGGAATTCCTTGTTTATTATCCCCGCAGAAGTAAAATGAAGGGCCCCTGACTTGGGATGGAACTATCCAGATGGGGCTAGGATAGGTCTTGTAGATCATCCCCAAGTCCCTCTATTTTGAATAGGACTGAATCCTTAAAATTCAGTATATGGCTCAAGGGAGTAACTTCTGAATGCTATTCTTTCTATACAGTCATGATTCACTGCCACTCTCTCTACACCTCTTGTACCAGGAGAACAAATTTCCTTTCCGGGTGTGGGAGTTCAGATGGTTGAGAGAGGGGGTTTGTGCTGGCCTCTCTTCAGGAACAAAATGCATTAATGTGGCCCTGACTCAGATCTTGGAGTTGGACTGTGTCCATTTTGCCCAAAACTGAGCCATGACCTGAGAGGAACTCAGTTATAGACGGCTCTGGGACACTTCCTATGCTGCCAGGGATACCACGGTAACATTCATGTCAATGAGACCATTCCCCCTGAGGAATCTCTTTGTCCTGGCCTCTATTTGGCTTCCATTACCTTGTGCAGATGGTTGAGGGACAATTGAAGGAACACGTTCACTTTCCTTTGCATATTCTGAGGAACAGGCCTTTATATTTCCAATTGGAGAGGAAAAAAAGAGTTCTCAATTTAGTAGGTAACAGAAAAAAGGAGTAGAGTTCATCCATCCATTTTACTTTGTGAAAATTAGAAAACTTTGATTACAGCCACTGGACAGGTTTTTTTAAGAAGTTCAAGTAGAGAATTTTAGGCATAAACAGACTATTTTAATAATTCTTAATCCTACTTACAAAATATCACATTATGATTAAGAATTCTTCAAAGTCAGTTGCAGGGTTGAGGCTAAGTGCTGTTGGAGAACCCAGCATGCTGTGTTGTTTTTCCTTGTGATTTTGCTGAATAGAGCCTAGTTCTTCTAGAATGTGAACTTTGCTCCTGTCTTCCCAGGAACCTCCTGTTTGTGATCCTTGCCACTGATAGAATCCTTATTTCCTGGATTCATCCACTACTTTGTTCCGGTCTTTAGTTTGTGTTTATTTACTAATCTGTCCTCCTCTTATTCTCACAGCCCCACCAGCAGTAGTAGGTATGGCTCCTCCTGTAACGTGAGTCAAGGGAGCTCTCAGTTAAGTGAACTGGACCAGTGTCATGAACAAGATGATGACCGTCGGGAGAGGGACTCCATCCATTCCTGCCACAGCTCCGGTAGCCTCTCCAGAGATGGCCAAGTGGGTTTTGGAGAACAAGAGAAAGCCTTGGAGGTGACAGGTGAAGAGGAGAAGGGGGGAGTGTGTGAACCCAAGGAGATGAAAGACGGTGCCACAGCCCATCCACCCCCAGATACGGTGCTAGACAGAGACCTGGTCCGAGGCCCCCAGGAGAGGTAGGTCATGGCTACCTTGAGGAGCTCATATGGTTTCCTCAGTACCTGCCCTATGGTACTGCTGGCAGAATGCTATTGCTCTGTTTGTTTCCCTGCAGCTGGGTATGGTTGTGATCAGGATACTGAGGCTTATCTCTGCACTGCTTCCATTGTTTTCTGGTGTAGTTACCAAAGTATTTCAAGGATCTCTGGAGAACATTTTAGCTGCAGTGTACCAGGCCTTCTAGAGTCTCTAGTTCTTGGCTTACTAGTTGACCCCACGTATGACAACCTCTGAGTCTGAAACTGACCTGAGCCCTGCAGATTATTTCATTCGGAGGAGCTGCTTTGAATAAAACAGGCTTCCTAGCCTATTAATGTTTAAATTTTATGGGTGAACATTGTTTTTCTTTTTTGTTTTTTTCCTTGACTAAGCTGGGAGACACTTAAAGAACTGATCCAGAAGCCAGATCTAAATCACCCTTCTGTCTTCCTGGGGCTTAGCAGTATGTCTGGCAGCTGGTACCCAGAAAAAGGAAAATTTTAAACTTGACCTTTTAACAGTCACGTAATGAAGCTTAGTACAGAGTTTGAGTATTGTTATCATTGAGCTAAATTGGTCACTCAGTTGCTGATAGGTTGGGGCAAAGCAGGGTTTCTCAGTCTTGGCATTATTAACATTTTAGCCAGATAATTCTTTCTTCATTTTTTTGTTTTGTTTTTGATATTTTAGCTACATTGTGCAGCATGTCGTATGGTTCCCTGACCAGGGGTCGAATTCAGGCCTCCACAGTGAAAGCATCGAATCTTAACCACTAGGCCATCAGGGAACTCGCTGAGCCAGATGATCGTTTGTTTGGGGAGCTGTTGTATGCCTCGGGGGATGTTTAGTGGCATCCCTGGCCTCTGCACACTACATGTCTGCAGCAGCTCTCGGTGTGACCACCAGACATGTCTCCAGATATTATTGCCAGAGTTCTCCTGAGGAGCAAAACTGTCCTTAGTTGAAAACCACTGGAGTAGAGTGAGAAGAGCTATGTGTGACTTAAATTCTCAAATTTCAAGGTCATGGGAAGATCAGAGCAGTGAACACTGATGATATGGTAAGAGTTAGAAAACAGTTGATGCCTCTGCTATACCACTCGAAGGCAGAAACTTGTTTTCTGTTTGTTTTCCTGATTTTTAATCGTCTCTGGTGGCTCATCTAGTAGACAAGACATCAGAGAGCCTGAGTTCTGGACCAGCTTTTTTTTTTAATTGGACTGACAGCTCACTACAAGATAGCTCTTTGTAGACCTTAGACTTGAAAGATGCTATTGTCTGGGTAGAGTTCTTGGTCAAGCATTAGGAGTGCCCGTCCTTCTCTCGTGGCCTCGTCGTCCCAGATCCTAGCTGTGCAAGTGACATCCAGGCTGGTTTCAGAAGTGCCCACAGATGTTTTAAAACAACTGATGCACTGAAGTGGCATCAGTGCCTAGCATATATTTTGTGTGTCTGTATGGTGGTTTCTTGTTTACTGCCTTGGCAATAGAGGCCAGTGCGCGAGGGGAGAAGCATCATCACCAAGAATGAACCACTATCCACAGGTAAAACCTAGATGATGATTTGCTTAGTATAGGCTAGTGTTTCTGCCTCAGAGCTCCTGTTATATGTATTGTTCCTTGCACTTAGGATGCCCCTGAGGCAGCTCAAGGAACAAGATCACAGCAGGAGGAGGGCTCTGCCTTTTTTCTTAGCACTTTGATGTAGACTAGGAATTGATACGCCTTCCAAAATACTTAGTGGAGTCGGAAGGGTTTGCAGGAGCAAAATTCTGCCCCAAGGATGCTTTGCAGAACCCCCAAGGGAGAGTGGTGATCTTGAGAGGCAGGGGAGAGGTTTGCTCCACACCCCGCCGCACCATTTCCCTGTTAGTCCCTGACTTAGGTCCCTCGTCGCTGCTTGTAGTATCCTGACCCCTAACTGTTCCAGTGAGCTGACTCATCAGGTGAGTGGAAAAAGGGAAAGAAAAAGAGGGAACACATGAAAAGCTAAAAGCAATTGTCATTTTAGAGAGGAATTTTTTTCATGTTGGATGTTCAGGGTATGCTGTTTTAGTGGCTTGAATCACTAGACAAGTATAGGCATGAAAACAAACCTTTTAATTTTAGGTATTTGGCAGTTTTGACTTGAGCACTGTCATCTTGTGGCCTGGGCTTATTTTTAAGGAACATTCTTTTCTCTGTTACAAGTTTTCCTGAGGAGACTGCATCTTCGCCATTTACCCAAGCCAGAGCGCACTGGATCCGAGCAGTGACCAAGGTTCGACTCCAGCTGCAGGAGGTAGGAAGTCTGTTGTTCTGGTTCTAGCTGGGACAGTTTTTCCTTTGAAATTGGGAGACATATGGTGCTGAAGAAGCAGCCAGTGATTAGTCATATTATAGTGTGCTTCTGGGAATGCATGACAAGTAAGCTAGAGCCTTAAGAGAGGGGAGGTAGCTGTTGACTTCCTTGTACCCTAAATAATGGAACTCAAATAGACCTAATGGGTTAAGAGCCTGAAGGTAAAATTAAATGCTCTTTTTGGTACTACTATCACCTGTGAGGCTATTTCAAGTTTAGGATAGGAGACTGTTTCAGGGCCTCTTAGGGTTAATTGTTGTTTCCTTTGGTCAGCCAGTTCAAGTGCCACTGGCTGACTTTTACAGAGCTGGAAATTTTACTCAGAAATTTCTGTGGGCTCCCCTAATTTAAGGTCCAAAATATCAACACATTAATATCTAAACTAATGTAAAAAAGTAAAAATAGATATATTTTTCATTTTCAATGTTGCAAGTTCGGAGTATCTTTATCTGTGTTTCAGTAGTCAGTCTTCAGGCAGAAAGGTGGTTTTTAAATGATGACAAGTGGCTGTCAGTAGTATAATACCTGGCAGATGTTAAAAATGAAAGCATGCTTACCTGTGTAAACACACTTTAAAAGTAATTTATTTTGAAATAACCTCAAACTTAAGAGAAAAGTTGACAAAACAGTAGTGTAAAGAACTCCCATATCCTGCTCACCAAAGTGCCTCAGTTGTTGACATTTTATATTATTTTTGCTTTATCACCCTGCATCCATAATGATTAATCTTTTGCTGAACCATTTGAGAGAAAGGGAGAGGCCTGATGTTTTCCTTTTTGTATTTTCCAAAAAGGCAAGGCTGCTATCCACTGTAACCAAGAAATCCACAATGACAGCACTGTCATCAAAACCCCATGCAAATTTTGCCAACTGTCCCAGCAATGTCTCTTTTCTGGTCTAGGACACAACTCAGGCTAACATGTTGCATTTAGTAATCCTGTCTCTTAATCTCCTTTAATCTGAAACAGTTCCTCTTGCTTTTGACAGATACTATAGGCCTTTCACTTTGTATTCTTCACTTTGGGTCTGTCTAGTGTTTCCTCATGTCCAGACTCAGGCCATACTTCCTTGGCAGGATTACACAAAAATGGTATATTGTACCCTTTTTAGTGAATTGCATCAGAAAGTACATATTCAACCTGTCCTACCCCTTGTAATGTTAACCTTACTCACCTAGTTAAGTTTGTATCAATTAGATTTCTCTACTGTTAGGCACCATTTTTTCTTGGCAATTCATAAGTGTTTGTGGTTCAGTACTCTGAGACGATGCCAGTATCTCGTTCTTATCAAATCTCCATGTATAGGCTAAGGATCCGTGTATGATTCCTGTCTGAATCTACCACCACAAATGCTGGTTGCCAAATGGTAATTTTCTATTTCCATTATCCTTTCTACGTTCGTTAGTTGGCATACTACTATAAGGAAGAGATTTCTCTCTTTTTTGAATCAGTTTTTTATGATTAATTTTTCAAAAGTAAGGGTCTTATAATTCTTATAATAAAGGAAAATAAAATAAATAACCTCCATGTAGAAGAGTTCTGAATGAGAAAAGCAAGAATGTATTGGAGCGGTTTGTTAAGGCTTTTTAAGAGGCAATACAGAATCTCTCAAGGATAACTAAAAACAGTTGCCAAAGCTTGGAATTGTCTAGAGAAAAGCACGGTTTATTTAAGGGTAACCCAGAATGATTGCAACTTAGTATTGGAACAGTAGTAAATATATTCTTAACATAGGTAATGTAACTGAAAGCTGATTGGGTGTGGCCAAGAGGAGGAACAGAAGCCAGAGTTTAAAGAAGGATCTGATAACAGCTGAAGATAAGAGTCAGAAGTACACCATTTACACTTAAGATGAGATTTGCTGGCACATTGGTTGAGGTTGTGAGACAGTAAGAAGTTAAGTATGGCATCAAGGAGTTTTCTTCTGAGTAATTGAAAGTTCCATCTATCTGCCCTAAGATAATAATTTTTTGTTAGTTTCCTATTATTGTAGAATTAAAAAAAAAATTTCCCTATGTAGGTGTAAGTAAATATGAATTATATTCTAATCCCCCCTTTTTTCTTTACCAAAAAAAAAAAAAAGGTTTATTATACACACAGGGAGTATCTTGTTTTTTCACTTGGAGCTTCTTCCATGTTAGCTCTAAGAGAACTTTTTTCTTTTTAAATGGCTGCATAATATTTCATTGTATGAATGAAGTACAGTATTTAATTAGTCTTCTGTTGATGTTCATTTGGTTGTTTTGGGTCATTTGCTGTAACAAACCATATTGCAAATGATAACCTTTTACATACATCATTTTGTTTGTGTTCAAATATATCTGAGAGAATATGTGTTTATAATTTCAATAAATATTGCTCTCCATTTATCAGTGTCTTAAAACAACAAAGGTTTGCTTTGCTCATACTTCTTATCATCCTGTATATTGAGGAATTCTGCTTTGTTATCTTCTGTGCAATCCAGGGTAAGTGATCAGCCAGCTTCTAGAACATTGCCAATATTGGTAGTAGAGAGAAAGAAAAGATAAAAAATGAAAGCGAACATAGAAGATTACTCTTTGGCCCAGAAGATATAGTATGTCACTTTTGCTCACATTTCTATGGCCTAACCAAATTATATAATCATATATAACTTCAAGCAAATGGTATACCTTGAATAGATAGATCGGGATATTTGTGAAACTTTAATAACTATCCCAAAGTGTATCTGCCTTCCACCAACTTAAACTCTTACTAGTAATGTCATGACATATTGGGCCTAAAAAAAACAGATCCTTTGCAGAAAGAATTTGAAAAGCAGTGATACAGACTATATTCCTTTCCAGTGCTACTTCTTTCTGTACTGTTTAGTCAACATTTCCAATATATAAAAGCTTTTGTTCAGAGTACTTACTGTTTCCCTGTACGGAGTACTCTTTCTCCTTCTCCACGTCTCTAACTGTTCACTCGCATCTTTTATATCCTGTCAGGTGTCAGTTTTTGGATAAAACTTCCAGACTCTGTGCACAGAGTAGACCCCAGCCTGCATCCTTGGCTTCGCCTTTTGCAGTTTCAGTTACCTGTAGTTAGCCACAGGCCAAAAATAACAAATGGAAAGTCCCAGAAATAATTCTTAAGTTTTAAATTGAATGCTATGCTGAGTAGTGCGATGAAATCTCATGCTGTCCCACTCCTTCTCGTTCTGGATGTGAATCATCTCTTTGTTCAGTGTATCCCACCCATTAAACACTTAGTAGCCATCTCAGCTCTCAGATTGACTGTCATGAGATGGCAGTCCTTGTGATCAGATAACCTTTATTTTACTTAGTAATAGCTCCAGAGTGCAAGAGTAGTGATGCTAGCAGTTTATTATCTTTTTCACCTTTCCTCTTTTATTTTTTATTAATTTTTTATTAGAGTACTGTTGATTCGCAATGTTGTATTAGTTTCTGCCATATAGCACAGTGAATCAGCCATACATGTCCAATATAGCCATTCTCTAGACTTCATTCCCATACAGGTCCTTACAGAGCACCAAATGGAGTTCTCTGTGCTATACAGTAGGTCCTTACTAGTTATTCTTATATAAAAGCAGTGTGTGTGTGTATGTCTGGCAGTTCATACATACCACTGAGAAGCAGTAAAGTGCTTCCTTTAAGAGAAATGGTTGAAAGTTCTTGATTTTAAAAGGAAAGAGGGATAGTTAGAGAGTTTGGGATGGGCATGTACACACTTCTGTCTTTAAAATGGATAATCACCAAGGACCTACTGTCCAGCACATGGAGCTCTGCTCAATGTGGCAGCCTGGATGGAAGGGGCGTGTGGAAGAGAATAGATACTTGTATGTGTGTGGCTGAGTCCCTTCACTGCTTCATCACCTGAAACCATCACAACAGTGTTGATTGGCTATACTCTAATACAAAATAGAAAGTTTTTTAAAAGTAAATTTAAAATAAGGAAAGAAAAAAAGGATATATTGAGGTGGCTAAGATCTATAGTTAGGATGAATCTTCTAACCCTGAAATTGGTAAGAAGGAAAAAGAAATTCATGCTAGTTTTGCTGTCACACCTCAGACTGCAAAAGTTATGGCCATCGTGTGTGATAAATGCTTAGCAAAATTAGAAAAAGCATTAGGTTTTTACAGTTTTAGAGCAAGAGAGACCACATTCACATAAATTTTATTAGAGTATACAATTGACCTTTGAACAATACAGATTTGAACTGCATGGGTCCATTTATATGTGGGTTTTTAAAAATAAACACTATAGATCTCTGCAATCTCTGATTGGTTGAATCTGCAGATGCAGAACCTTGAATACCAAAGGCCAACTATGGGACTTGAGCATCCTTGGATTTTGATATTCATGGCAGGTCCTGGAACCAATTTTCTGTGAATACTGAGAGATAACTATATTGTTGTAATTGTTCTATCATTAATTATTACTGTTAATCTCATACTATGCTTCATTTATAAGTTATACTTTATCCATATACATACATACATTCATATATACATACAAGCATCCACTGGGGTCTTGGAACATAGCCCCGGAATAAGGAGAGACTACCCTACTTTGGCTAAATTTGCGTTTAATGGAGTTACTTGTTTACTGTTACATCTATCCTGTGTACTTGTAAGATCTTTGAATGCCAGGGCTATGCTTTTTATTGCTGCTGTTCTGGAGCCCAATATAGAACCTGGCAGAGTGTTTAGCCAGTCTTTTATGGATGCTTAAGTCATCAGAAAAGCCCATTAGCATTTCCACAGAAATCTCCCTGTACTTCTTTATCTTCTCGTAATTCTTTAAAAAGAAAGTTTCCCAAGGTCTAGCACCTAAAGCTAATAACAGCAAAATATTAACTATTGAAGTTAGCTATGTTATATAATTTATATATATATATATTAATATAAAGTTACAGAGTTTATATTACTATGTGTGAATTTAGAATTTTTCTCCCTT